TTGTCAACCGCATGGCAGATTTGACCCAACTGCCTGTCGACTCATCGCGAGCTGCAAAAGGCCTGACCTCATCTATCAAGACATTCCCGGCGAGGACGTCGAAAGCCGGGCTTTTCTTTTATTTTCCGGCATCCTTACAGATGTTTTATTTACCCAGGAGTCAGACAGGGAAATGATCGACGAGACTCTACGTCATTGCACGCGAAGTTCCGGTTGCACTTTGACCGCCGCGTGACACGATAAGACCCCGGGTCGGGCACGTCATTGTTCGAGTTCATCTATCCCTTCTGTAATTCGTTCACGAAAAGTGATCACAGCGCTGAGCCTTTGGGGAAATTTATCCCTTGATGTGCCTGGCGTGGAATCTTCCTCGTCAGTAAGCGCACGAAACCTGCCTGAAGCCAGCTTCCTAAAACGTTCCGTCATGCTTGCAAAGTATCAAATCAGCTCAGGTGAAATGGAACACGCTGCTTGTTCATTTTAAACCCGTATCCGGCTTTAGAAGCTGGAACTCTCGGGGCTGCAAAGGAAAATTCGTTCCGTGACTAAGCGAGTAGACGGTAACTAAATAAGAGGTACAGTATTTCCGATCTCGCGAAGTTTCCTGAAGGTTGGAATCTTCGCCGAATATCGGTGCTTTTCTTTTCTGTATTGCTGCGTGCTCTAAAATTTGAATCTAAGTGAACTTCCGAATTTTTTTTTTTTTCAGAAGAAATACTGGCTCTGTATACAGGTATAGTATTAATTTTGCCACGTAAAGCACCTGAGTTCATCAAGTTGGTCTGAGATTAAAATCTTTGAATTGCCGCAACTTTTAATATCTTCATCTGTTCATCATTAAAGCACAAATAATGCGGCTTATGGCATGCATATACAGTAGCTTTACATTTTCGGTTCCCTGAGCAAGGATTGGCATCATCAACGTCAGATATTTTCTGCAGCGAAATGCATTTTAAAATGTTTTCATCACTTTTTTTCTAAATACAGTGCAGTATTTGATAAATCAATGATTTCCCTTGTTCATCTTCATAAAACTTTTGAGAATTTTTCGCAAGTTTTGCTTTCTACCGCGGAGTGACACTCGTCTGGAATCATTGTCAAACTGAAAGATGAACCTGCTGTATGCAATTTTTCTTCCAATAATTTACATGAATAATGTGAACATTTCAACATGATCTACTATACAACCTTCTCACAGATTTAAAATTATTTCTGGGGGGCATGGCTATACAGAAAGCCGAATGTACCATAACGCTGCTCTGAGGATTATATGAATGAATGAAACTTACCCGTACAGTAGTTGTTGAGGAAAATATACGCCTCTCAACTTAATTCATGAATGTAGAAATGCACAGATGCGTAAGAAATGCTCAAGCGGGGTTCAGGTGTTCTATCGTGGCATTAATAGCAGTAATCTGCTGGTTTGAGGCTTATTTGAAGATAGTTTATGCAGTACTGCATTAAAAATCGTGTTGCATTTTTTTCGGTTCTTTTCTTCGGGTTTTCAGGGAAACGCGGAACAGGTGGACTATCTCTGCAACGAAATTTGAGGGACCAGAAAAAAAATCATTGTTGAGATAATTTCGCAGTTGAGAACCCCTGTAACGTGGGGAGAGAACCCTATAAAACCCAAAAGGCTCGATATACGGAGAAAATCGTTGTAGACAAGATCGTTGTAGAGAGAGCCCACCTGTATTATGCTTGAGATATGAAATTGTCCGTCATTGATCCTTCGATGGGAACGATAACAATACCCTGCATTTTTTTCAAGTACAGTACTGTACTGTGGAATTAACCTCGAAAAGTTGGCTTCGGTGGACGATCCAATCCTTTGCACAGACGTTTGACGTTCAATATATTTTGTTCACATTCAGTGCGCTGAGGATTCTTTGTCGAACACAACGTTGCAGAGATAAGAGTAATTTATGATGAGGAATGATGACGCGGAGTCATTCAAAGGAGCATCCGAGTGTCGTAAGGACATAATCCATCGAACTGCGGATATGTGTGGGATACGTGGCTTCAGCAGTTGCCATACCGATTCGGGTGATAACCAGCTCGTTATGCTCGCTGTCGGAAGCGATTCGCATTTCACCGGTTCGCTGATTTGACTATGAAGTCTCCGAGGGCCTTCGTCAATAGAACGGATGTTCCGTCGATAGGGAATGGATGCGGATAACGGAGTAGCCTGGATACTTGAGGGCCTCGTCCTTGGAAGACGTGCTGGACTACAAAGGAACTCCAGTCAAGCCACGTCAGCACACGTTTGTGTTCGTTTTCATACCGGCAACGCAAGCGGAGCGTGCGAGTCCCGCTATAACACACAGGATCCAGTTGTGGAAGACAAGTCCGCAAGTGCGAAGTACAAGGTTTAGCTCATAAATGCTGTCAGGGGTTTCCTAAAGAATCTGAACTGCACCATATTCATGCAAATATCATGTGCACCTTATTATTGGAACAAAGCAAAAACGATGTGCATTCCGTAAAACAAATTTTCAAGTCAAATTTCTTGAAAGATTTTAGGAAGACAAACATGAATACTGTTGGGTACATTTTCCTTTTTATTAACCAATTACTGTATCCCCTCTTTTAGTTGTGGGAGACAAGTCCGCAAGTGCAAAGTACAAGGGTTAGGTTAGATCATAAATGCTGTTGGGGGTTTCCTAAAGAATCTGAACTGCACCATATCCATGCGAATATCATGCGCACCTTTTTTCAAATTTATTGAAAGAAAACAAAAACGATTTGCATTCCGTAAGACAAATTTTCAAGTAAAAAAGTTTTCAAGACTTTAGTAACACAAACATGCATCCTGTTGGGTACAAATTTTATCAACTAATTCTTCCTTATTCTTTCAACTTTTTGAAATTATGCTTTTAATAATTCTATGATGCATATTGAACAAGAAAAGCTTTTGTTAATCGACACACATGGAGATGGACAACATTTACAAAAGAACTCTGATTAAGCTTTCTCAAATTACAAATCGCAATATATACTGTAGTAGGAAACAAAGCGACCAGATATCCTTTAGATTTTCATAATTGAATTGCTTCATCCTCCTTTCTTTGAAGAATCTTCCGGACTTTAAAATTCGAAGGAAATTTCGATGCGTTGAGTAATCTCGAATTTTTGACCCATCGATTTTTTTTTCATGGCACGAATTTTACTGTATACAATTAACCGTGATATTTCTTTTTCCGGAAAAGCTCCTGTAATTAGAGCGGAAAATTGGAGTTTAACTTAAATTATGACTCAGTGAGACTGGTTAATTTTCTAACCAGTGCTCCACTCCCTTTACATTGGAATCGAAATGCAAAGCAGGTAGTAATGCTGCAGTATTAATAACAACCAAACATGTACGCTAACTAGGTTCTAATGAGAACAGTACGCTTATTTTTTGTATTTTTCTATTCATCAGTGTCGCTGAATGGGAAGGTTTTTCGAGGGTCTATTAATGAGTGTAAGGCGGTTTGACCAAGTCAGTGCAATTTGTATGATTCTCAAATCTTGTTGGTTCCAGTTTTTCGGAGGTTCGTAGCGGAAAAACTCGGGTACCCAAAGAACTTTGTTTCAAGGTACTGTACCGGCAACACTTTCAAACCATTCATCCATCCCCCCTTGTGAAATTTTCTCACTGGTTTCTTGAAGCTTTGTCACCAATTTTCATTCAAGAAAAAAATCAAGCAATTTGTTTCAGCCTCGCATTATCCAAAATCTAAACTTTTGCGCTACCAAGACGAGTTCGACACTCTGTCCTACGAAGAGTTTCACCAATGGCAGCAGAACAGTAGAAAATATTTATTAAGCATCTTACGAGGGATTAATGCAAGGAATGCGCACATGTCACTTTCAATTACGTCGACATGATGCAAAGCAATACAGACAGATTCTTCATCATGACTTCCTTGGAAAGCTGGTGAATCTTCTGGAAGACCGTGTTTCATCGACTGCTATAGATTCTGCGGAAGCGCACTTTCCGTTGGAAGAGGAAAGGTTTCCGTCATTTATTGCAAGGATTCTCGCCTCCAGGTTTTCCGCTCTTAATTAAAAGTGGAGAGATGCACATGGCACTAAATGAAACGGGCACGTGGCAATTGAGAGAGAAGTTGAAGAGCTTCTGGGCTGATGGACCTGATGCATACTCAGCTTCTTGTCTGACGGATGACTCGTGAAAACCCACTGCTGAGGGACGCTTTTCTGATTCATTTAGTTACCAAAAACGAGTAGAATGCGCCGACATTTTCCGTAAAATCATCAACTTCGAAGAATTTTTTTTTAATCCATGGAGTCGTAATCAAAGAATATTTTTTTGGAGGCAACGAATCAGCAAGCCATTGTTCCGGAATTCCGTCGCTCAAGAATTCTTCGTAAAAAGAACTTGAACTCGTTTTTCGGCCTCGTGCATTTCAGGATTTTTAGTCCTATTGATCTTAGATTTGTGGAACAGATTAGGGAAGGTTTGTTCATAAGTTTTTTCAGCACCTTAAAATAAATTGATTTGTGTCTCGAGTTTCTGAGTCAATATCGCTCGATCAACTGTAGAATCAAAAATTTATTTGCTGGATATTTTCTTCAATTTCCACCCTGACTTCTGCAACGTCCTTATTTCCGATTGATGGTTCGATATACTTTCCCATTCATCATCAGCTCAATTGCCTAGGTCAAGAAAATTTGTGCTTTGAACGGGGCTGCGTAATTTGGGGCATCGCTACCAAGATATCGGAAACATTTGATGGCACCTCGTAAAACGTAAACGAGTGGCACTTTCCGCCTTCTCTGTATTTCGACCAAGATAAGAAAGAGAACTTTTAAAAGTGGTGATAAAGTACTCTGCAAAAGTCACAGCCATGATTTATCTCCATCCACCTATTGAATACTTCCACATCTACTCGAGACTGACGAAACTTATGAAATAACCCCATGCTTTTGCAAAAAGCTGTTTTTTCCTCTTCTCCGACATCCATTTTTTAAACACATTCCTGGCATATAAAAGCTCGAGTCAACCCGCATAGAATCATTCATCCCTTGATTTTTCAGAGTCTCCAGCATTTTCGACCAGTTTGTGCTTGTGAATTTTGTCTCACTTCGGTTAAGTTGAGACGATGAGCTGGAATTGCCCTATTCACGGGTGAGTATATTGTGAAAATTAAATTTCGGATTAGTCTTTTATGTTATTATTTATTATAGTGGCGGAGGTGGCGGTGGCCAGGGCCAGAGGCCCATGTGTCCATTGCATGGTGCTGGTGGGTACGGTGGCTATCAGCAGCAAGGAAATCCTTACGGGGGATTCGGCGGACAGCAGAGTTACGGAAGTACTTACGGAAACGGTTATGGAGGCAACAACTTTGGCGGCGGCGGATATGGAGGTGGAGGTTATAGTGGCGGAGGCGCCGGCGGATACGGTGGGGGTTTCAATAGCGGATACGGCGGTGGAGGTGGATACAGCGGAGGAGGCGGCGGTTACAGCAGCGGCGGAGGAGGCGGTCGAGGTGGCTGATAATTGCCAGGTGTTGCGACTCTCTTGGTTGTAGCACCGTGATTATTAGTATTGCTGTTCGAGGAAGGTTGTGCTCTTATGACGCTGATTCCGGTTAAACACGAAAGTGCACCTTTCGGCCGATGCGCACATCTTGCCAAGACTTAATTAATATTGACTTCTGTCTCTGTGAGTGAATGATTTTTTAATACAAATTTTGTGAAAATAAATATTCATTGCTGCGCTCATTACCGTATCTACGTTATTTCTACTCGACTTTTAATGGGGGGAGGAGGGTCAAAAGTAATGTTCGTCGTAACACTGAGGATTACCGATGTTCCTTGGAGAGAAGGTGGGGGTGTGACTGAAAAGCATTGGACTTGATTGTCTCGCTCTCAGGAATTGAACTGAACTTTATCTCAACTGACGTAAAGCTTTTTTCATATTAGCTAAGTGCAGTACTGTTTTACCAATGCGTTGTGTGTTCTGGTTCTGATCATTCCATATCTGTCGATTTCAATGAAATTATGTGGTTTTAATGTGACTTTGAAACTATCCTGAGCTTCCAAAGTGGAAGGTTCATTTTGGGTATTAGCCGGTCCTCAAAATATGTTCCTGATCATGTCTCTCCACGAACATTCCCCTGTGTTCCAATGCGACGTGAATCTGTCGAATGATATGTTAAATTGATTCGTATAGAGATGTGTAGTTGAGCAAATGTATAAATGGGAGGAATCTTACTCAAACGCCTTTTCACGGCTCGGTATGCGTGAATGATTTTGCGACTTCTACCTACACGTTACGCAGTTTCTTGATTTACCGAAGAAGCACGTTACTCATGGATATGAAGGGCGCCACCTTCATTTCACAAATTCATTTCTGAGCTTTTGTGTGTTCATCCGAGGGAAGGTAACTATCTTCTGAGACGGACGTCATCTACCTCCCTTACGATGGTTCCTTGGGTTTCCAGGAATCGGGTTTTCACGTTTTTTGTCAGGTGGACATATGTCACGTGAATCGCATTAAACTGCATTCAGGTAGGCTGAGTTGAAAAAAAATTATGCTATCGAAGGAAATCAGGAGAAGCAGCTTCATGGGGAGCCTAAAGAGTTTTCCATATCTACTTTCCCAACTCAAACCCTATCCCTTAAGTCAGATGTCTCACTTTCCCTGGATGCAGCTCTTGCTTAAATCGATCCGGAATGTACGTATCTAGTCCAGTGCAAGATGAGTTGGAAAATATCGGACTAGTATCCAAACAAAACTATTTCTAATACCATTTGATGTGAAGGTGATGGATGATGACCAGCATGGAATTTCAACTCCATTGCTTCCAATGAACTTGAAAAGAGTTGAGAATAAAGTAGCAAATTTTGCTTTGAACTGGGATCAGCAACTGCCAAATGCTGCAATTTGTATTTCTGAAATTTTGTTTTTGTTATCAGGGAAGGGAAGAAATTTTATGCATTTACATCAGTAGTGCAATTTTACATTTTGGGATGCTTATTTCTCCCTTTTCCATTCGGAATTGTGATGGAATGTGTTTGAATGAATGTGGGTGGGAAGGGGGGTTTGGAATGTTGCTTGAAGCTTACTGATGCTGAAAGGCAGAAAATAAAGCTTGCTGTTCAATTCAAGTATTGGAAATCAATGCCTTGAACTTCTTCTTCACATCTATATTGCCATCACACTTAAACCCCAGTGATTGGTACAACTCTCGTTACCCAGAGAATTATTTTTCTTTTGCATACATTTTGAGTCAAACATTTTTTTGTTCACAAAAAACTCCAAAACAAGTTTCTATGTAAAGCGTCTTGTATGACTAAAATATGATAATTCCCAGACGTTCCCAAAGTTAGCAATACTAAAATCGATACAAAAAAATGACAATTCCAGTAAGAGTCCTATACAGTACTTATTCCAGGAAGAGGAATCATTGAGTCATCTGTGATTTCCGAAGAGATTTTAGGGACACCAGTCTCCTCCCTGTCATGTCATGCTCAACTTGAAAAATGTATATTTATCTACGAATAACAGAAAGCACATCGGACTTCGAAGATGAAAAATTTCGAGATTTTGGCTGAAGGAGAAAGTTTGGTTTTGATATCGTTCGGTTGTTTTTCAACATAAACCCTCAGATGCAATGTAAAGTACTACATCTGCCTACCTTATTTTTGAAAAAGAAACTGAAATGAAAATTGCCATAAGGGCAACAAACTGCAGGGATATTGAAAAAATCGGAGCTCCAGCATGAGAAGTATTCAGAATTGAAAATTGCCTAGTGTTGAAAGTTCTTCCGCATGATGACATTCTCCGGTTCCAACTTTTTTTTTAAAGCGATTTCTTTTGCGTTATTCGATTCATAAGTTTTGAACCTTTGAATGCCATGTAAGATGTAACACAGTAGCTGAATCAGAGATTTTTAATCAATTTTGATAAAAGGCGTGCGTAGGTGTCGCTCTTACGAATATGCAAAACACACTGGGTGCCCCTTCTACGCACCGAGCGGCACCCGCGTAAGAAAGAGTTAGTTTCCACTTTCCAGTCGTTATTCCGAGCAACTGGGATTCCCGCGTGATCTTGCAGCTGTTCGGCTTCACCGAGCATCTCATGACTCAGAATTGTGCTGAACGTGCTCCCGGAAAATAATTAAATGTACTCCGCTATTAATGTACAGTACTCTGCTCCTCCGTGTTACTGATGTCATCAGGGATATGTCAATCGCTTTACTGCAACGAATTTCAAATTCGTTACACTCGTTA